CGGAGCTGGAACTGCTTGAGAGCGTCATAGTACATGATCTCAACTGAGCTTCCCTGATCGATCAAGATCCGTTTGACATCAAATTCTTTGACGCGGAGTGTTACCATTAGGGCATCGTTGTGTGGCGTCTGAATGCGCTCTAGGTCTCTTGAGGAGAAACTGATCACGTCTTTCTCTTCGGTCTTCTCCCTTTTGATCGCAGGCTGAACCGACAAAACTTCCCTCATGTGTTCTGCCTTCTTGATCATTCCTCGAAGCTCGCATACACGCGCCGGTTCCACTATGCCGTGGATGACATTAATAACCCCTTGGGGAGGCGCATCTCGGTCATCCAGTCCCCGCGGGTCAACCGGAGCTTGATTGGCCTTCACACCGCCATCAATGTAAAGGTCCAAGTGTCCGGCTGCGACTAGCTCTTCCAAGTGTTGCCTCAAAGGCAAACAATCCTCTGTCCGATGGCCTCGCTCCCGGTGAAACGTGCAACGGTACCGCGGATTGAAGCCCTTCTTTCCGTCGCCTAACTTAGCAGGAAACCAGACATACTCCTCGTCACGGATTTCACTAAGTATGCGATTGATTGGAATCTTAAAGACCGTGGTGATGCCTGTCCTTGCTTTCAACCTTCTGTTAACATCGGCTACGTCATCCCGGGGGTAGTTATCCCGGTCATTCCGACGTCCCCTACTCCCGTTTTTGCGATTAGTGCCACGGTCCGATTCCTTAGCGCGGTCGCGGGATCGGTCGGACTCTTGCCCGACCGCGTGCACTTTGCCAACTGACTGCTTGTCTGTTGCTACCGGAGTTGCCTTCACGGTAGATGCTGACGCATCATCCTCCACTTGGATGTGTTCATTGATGCGCTGCATTAGCTGGCCCATGGATGTCGGCTGGTGCATGATAAGCGAGTCCCACAGTCTATGTCCGACCGGGAGACCACGCTTGTATTGTGTAATTGCAAGGTTGATCAGGCAATCCAAGATCTCGTTGAAAGTCTCCCAATATCTGGAGTTGTATGCCTTCAATGTGTCGCTTGGTTCCATCTTGACACTCAGGAGGTGATCAACTTCTTTTGGTGTTTTGGTGTTGGTTTTGAAGTGCGTCACAAAGGCTTCGGCTAACTGATGCCACATTTCAATGCTTTCCTCCAGCAACCTCTCGAACCATTTTAAGCCTAGCTCGCCCAAGCTTGACGGGAAGATTAGGCACATAAGGGCGTCATTTCACCTGTATCCGGCCATGACCTGTCGGAAGTGGCTTACATGCATATAAGGATCGGTTTTTCCGTCATAGAGCGTGAACTTTGGCTGATGGAACCCTGCCGGAAGCGGTGTTGTTTCTATCTATAGGGAGAAAGGAGTGGCGCTAAGCCTCGCCAAGTCTGTGTCTAAAAGGAGAGGCGCAGCCAGGCGGGGTGGAGGCATTCCGACCTCTTCACTGGCGTGAACCCCATAGGATAGCCGTTGAAAAGCCGGCACCCTCTGAGCTTTCCGCCGGCGAGCCCGTTTCTTCAAGACTGCCCGCAAATCCTCGGAATGAGCAGAATAAGAATACCTCGATGTCGTCGCGGGACGTAAGGGTCGGTAGGTACAATCTTGCGCGCTGGACTTTTCTTTGTGCAGGTCGGAATCTCCAACCTTGTAACTTCTGGTGATGGAAATAGACGCAGTGTGTCGCTGACTTTGACTGCCTGAACGGCGGGGTTGGGTGCGCTCACTGTGGTCTCCCACTCCAGCTACACCCTTCCTTTTAACATGCCGTTTCAGCTCCTCCATCTCCGCCGCCATTCGCGCGGATGACGACGTCTTGGTCCCTTAACTTGTGTTCCAGACGTCTGGCATGTGATTCTCTCCGCCACCGATGATCGTCTGGACTCCATGAATGACCATAACTTCTTCCGTGCTTATCCCGCGCATCTCTTGAATGTCCTCCTAGAGAAGTCTCCAGGTCCGCCATCGGAGGAACGATGGTGGGATGCCCTTCTCTCCGTCTGCCCGACTCCGGGGTAACTCCGTCGACGGCGGACAGCGGAATCTCTTCGTTATTCGCCATGGACAGTGATCAAACGAGCCTGGAAGACAAGGTTTTGTCTGCAAAATTCTCACAGACGGTGCCAATTGTACGGGGAGCAGATATTCAGGCAAGCCCGCACTCCTTTCTTCCAAGCTCCGTTTCTATCCGATCACCTACATGCACAATCAGCAGTGAGCTACCCGACAGTGTGCGGCCGGAAAACCCCTCCGACGATCAAGTTATCACACACCTGAGGATAGAGAGAGAGAGTGAGGAGAGAGTCGAGTGTAAGTATTTCTCTTACCAAATGTTCGTGTCCCCAGCATGGGGGACGCAGACTTGCTTATATACCTTCTACGCCCCAAATCCACTCCTAGTGATCTCTCGACACGTGGTTCTGTTATCCCATCTGTCAGCACAAATCTTGCTGAACATCACCTAACCCGACTGCCAGCCCACTGCATTGGGAGCTCGGCAGCCGGGCTGTAGCATCTCGGATGTCAACGGGCATGCTGCGTTTCATGCCCAGGTGCCCCAACAGCCGAGCTCCTTTCCAGCCATGCTCAACTGCATTCCGGTGAAGCCAAGCTTGAGATTGGTCATACCGGTCAACCAAAGTCCATCCTGTCGAGCTTCAGGCATGAGCCTTCACACCGAGCTATGGATGCGTGCTTTACAACCTTGCAACGCATAAACCGTGGAACCCTTACTTGACTGGCCTCTGTACCGACAAGGTGAAGTAGCCCCGTTCCACATGCCATTGCCATTGCCAAGCAAAAAATCACTTCTGTGTGGACCCGGGATGCCACGGCCCAAATTTGTTCGGCCCACAATTTGCCTGGTATTACCGTGGCCCAATCCAGACCATATTTTTCCCTCTCAGAGCCTTTCCTTAAATTACTATAGATAGCCCTTGGGCCCATACACTAGATGACTATCTGGTTATCTGGATGGTTGTCTCCTAGACAATCTCTTCTATACTAATTAATCGATTAACCGGACATTTTCCCGATCGTCCTCTTAGTTGATCGATAGTTTAATGAAAATTTAAAGTTGCGTTTAATGGAGTTTTCTAAATATGATTTGAGAATAGAGTTATATTTGAATTTGTGAGTTTTAGAATTATGATTTAAGTGTGAAAAATTTGTTGGGTGAATGAGTTTTGAAAAGAGTTTTCAATTGAGTGGAGAATTTTTGATGTGACATATGATATTTGATACAAAAACTTACAACTCATAACCAAACATATAGCTCAAAATTTTATTCAAAACTCATAATTTTTTTTTTAAAAATTCAAAAAATATTTTTTTATTGAATATATAAAAATTAACATGGGTCAATTGGAAAAAAAAATAAAATAAAATAAAATTTGCACTGTTTCGATCAACCGGCCGGACGACGTGTGGGATGTCCAGTGGGACGACTGGTTAGTTCAAATTTTCCCGCCTTGGCCAGAATTTTCAAAAGTGAGTGTAGAATTTATTTTTGAAAGTTTTAAACAAACACAACGTTGAAAACAAAAGGTAGAACTAAAGTTTGAAAGCTCTACCGAACAGAGCCTAAGGCTGTGTTTGGTTATGTGTTCCAAACACATTTCCACCCATTAATTTCAGTGTGGTGTTTGTTTTGAGCTTTCAAATTATAATTGCACATCCACTTTTGAAAACTCATTTCTAGGTAGGAAAATTTGGCTAACCCGATCGTCCTTCTGGACATCCAGGCTGTTGACCTGGAATAGTATTCGATTTTTTTTTTTGGCACTTGTTATTTTTATATTGTAAATAAAAAATATTTTAAAATATATTTTTTTATTTTTATATGAGTTTTGAATAGAATTTTGGGCTGTGTGTTTGGTTATGAATTGTAAGTTTTTGAATCAAATAACTTTTCTAATTTCAAAAACTTAAAACTCAATTCAAAACTCTTTTCAAAACTCATAACCAAACAAAATTTTCATACTTAAATCATAATTTCAAAATTCACAAATTCAAAATGCAACTCTATTCTTAAATCATAATTAAAAAACTCTATGAAACGCTACTTTAAGGGGTGGTTTGAGATAATCTAAATAAATATATTTTTTGACTTTTTATGAAATATGAATTAGATTTGATTTGAAGTGATATAATAAAGAAATAATATGACTTAAATAAGATGATATGACTTAAATAAGATAATGACTTTTTAACTTTTTTACAAATAAAATTTTCGGTTACAACACTCAGGCTATGTTTGGTTGTGTTTCCAAACAATGAATCTACACCCACATTCAAATATAATGTTTGAAAGGAGTTCTCAAATTACGTTTCCAAAACTCTGCAAAAAACTCTGTCTCAGGCGCGATTTTTAATTTTTTTTTCAAATTTGGCCTAACCGGTTGTCCCACCGGATCCGATTGACTGGAACAGTGCAATTTTTTTTTTCAATTGACATATGTTAATTTTTATATATTCGAAAAAAATATTTTTCGAATTTTTAATTTTTTTATGTGCTTTAATAGAATTTTGAGTTGCATATTTGGTTATGAGTTGTAAGTTTTTTTATCAAATATCATATATCACATCAAAAATTTCACACTCAATTCAAAACTCTTTTTAAAATTCTTTCACCAAACAAAATTTTCACACTCAAATCATAATTTTAAAACTCACAAACTCAAAATACAACTTATACTCTCAAATTATATTTAGCCTCCGTTAGAAAAGTGGGTTGACTTTTTGACTTTTTAAGCCTAGGCTCAAAAGCTTGATTTGAGAATGACTTTTTAATTTTTTAACTTTTTAAACTTTTCTTGTGAGATAAAAGTATAATAATTATGAGTTAAATATGATATTTTGTCTATTATAACTTAAATAATCTATTCTATTTTTTGCAACTTAAAAAATTAAAAAAATCTAAATCAACTCTTCCCAAACGACACCTTACAAATCTGCAAAAGGCAGCTTTAAATTTTTATTCAAATTTTAATCGAAAGAAAAGAGTATGTCAGGGAAGCTTCTTCCCAAATATCTCTCTCTCACAATCAAACCACACCACCACCAATCGCAGACCCCACAAATCTCTCCTTAAACCCCTCTCTCTCTCTCTCTCTCTCTCTCACTACATCTCTATTTCTCCCTCTACGTTTCTCAACGACAATGCCAGCTTCTTCCTCAGGTAAACCAATCCTAACTCTTCACTGTCTCCCTCTCTAATTCACACACTCTATCTCTCTTTTTTCTTCTTTACAATTTTCAAATTGAATCCCTAAAACTTGCCCTATATATTCTTCAACAGAGACTCGTACGAGGTGGAGGAAGAAGCGAAAGAGAGAGCCCCAAATCGGCCGACGATCCAAGCCCCAAGACGACGACATCGACGACGATGAAGAAGACGATGACGAACTCGAACAACAACAACAACCCGAATTCGACGAAGACCAACAAAATCCCCAATCGGGTCCCGATCCACCTCCAATATCCCGCGAGAGCGAGGTCTTATCGGACGGCGGTGTTCGAATCTCCGACTTCCCACCGGTGATCAAGCACACAGTCAATCGGCCCCACTCTTCGGTGCTCGCAATTGTAGCCCTAGAGAGGGCGATTCAGTGCGGCGAGGGTAAGAACCTTCAGAACGGCGTCGTATTGGAGAACATATCACATGGGCAGCTCCAGGCACTGTCTGCCGTGCCGGCGGCCGGTGATCAGGAGAGGGCGGATGGGTCTTCTTCCACCCCAGCGTATGTTATCACACCTCCTCCCATTATGGAAGGTCGTGGGGTTGTGAAGCGTTTTGGTGGTAATCGAGTTCATGTTGTGCCAATGCACGCAGGTGCCCATTTTCGCTCTCCATTGCTCTCTGTTCCTATCTCGCTTTTTTCATGCCCTAACATGTTCTGCTTAGGTTGAGCTCTTCTTATAGATTATTTATGTATGCATTTGTGGTCAATAATTTGCTTGATTTTTTCTTTTATGTTTATTGCTTTGTGAGTTTGTAAATTTTTTGGGTTTTTGATTTAGAATTTTGCCTTGGCACATTGCTCTTAATCAATGTATATGCTAATATTTATGGAATTTTGGTATGCCATTGCATTGCACTTCAATTTTGCTATATATGGGTCTTGCTCTAATTTTGCTCATTTGGTTTTGAGCTTCTTTTGAGGGCAGACTGGTTCTCGCCTAGTACAGTGCATAGATTGGAGAGACAAGTAGTACCGCATTTTTTCTCTGGGAAGTCAGCTGACCATATGCCTGAAAAATACATGGAATGTCGGAATTCGATTGTTGCCAAGTATATGGAAAACCCAGAGACGAGATTATCTGTTGATGATTGCCAAGGACTGGTTGCTGGTGTTGATATTGATGATTTAACTCGAATTTTTAGGTTTCTTGATAACTGGGGAATCATTAACTACTGTGCGGCTTCTCCCAGACATGATCACCGGATTGATGGCTCGTATCTGGGGGAGGATTCAACTGGTGAGGTTCAGGTGCCATCTGCTGCTTTGAAGTCCATCAATAGCTTAATTCAGTTTGACAAGCCTAAATGCAGTCTCAAGGCAGCAGATGTTTATCCATCATTGTCATGTCATGATGTTGAGGAGTCTGATTTAGACAGCAGAATCCGAGAGCGATTATCAGAAAACCGATGCAATTGTTGTTCCCGGAGCCTACCCTTTGTCTACTATCAGTCGCAGAAGGAGGTGAAGGACATACTATTCTCTGCCAGTTTATTTTATTTGTCTCCTTTTATATTGAAGCCAATATTCTTTGTTGTGTTTGTTACCACCATGACCTCACACAAGCTACTTGATTAGATATCTAGGTTTGCTAAGTATACATTAATCTGAAACTTTAAAATAAGTTAAATAAATCTTATACTGGGCAAAGATATGCTATAATATTTGCTGGCTAGATTATGGGGAATGATAAATTAATCTTAGTGATTATCATTGGGCACATTGAGTCTTCGGGTGAGATTAAATGTCTCCCTCACACTTTGGTCTGCATTTGAGGTTAGAAATGCATAATTTTGAATGGGACTCATTAAATATATGAAGGGACCAACAATGCTGATGGTATGCTATAAGTTTTATGATCTCATGAAATGTCATTGTTCCAAATAATTTGTATTATTTGTGTTGATGATACATTGTTACATGGACTTGGGGTATGTGTGTCACATTTAGGTATATGTGTAACTTCTAAGTGCCGAATTCATCTAATTCTAATGTCAAATACAACCAGACTGATAATGATACGGCGGATGTGGGATGAAGAATTATTAAATGTTAGAATCTTTATAAGGTCTTTTAAGAATCTGACTCAGAAGAAACAATTGTTTTACTATTGAAAGAGAACTACAATAGAAAACTTCATTAATCAATTTGTCCAATTGTCTGTACAAAGATTCATTATACAGAATTTTATCTCCTAAAACCAAAGGTTTTGCTAAACTAATTAATACTCAACTACTAAACAAAACTCACAACCAAACAACCTGACAAACCTGGACATTAGATGAATATGAATGATAGAAATACCATAATGATTACCAAAACAGGCAAATATGAATTTCTCATTAGAACTGTTTTCTTTAATGAAACCCTTCTAAAAAGTCCCTTATTAGGCAATACCAATGGTGGGGCTTACATGGCTTATTGAATAATTTACATCCTTTTCGAAGCTTAGACTGTAAGGTGTTGTTCACCATCATAGCTGCACACGTCTATTAATCTTTGTGCGTGTGTGCATCAAATGAACTTAATTCATTTTCGTCTATCCTCATCTTCAATTAGCTTAGGTGCACTAATTTTGATAGTCTTGGGTCAGTATGCCATTGAGAAGCGAAAGGCTCCAAAGAGTCGTTCCATTTCTTCATTTGTACTTCATTAATAGATTGTGGTTAGTATACACTGATGCTTTCATAACTTGGAGTGGAAAAGGTGGAATCTTTATGGCTTCATAGTGGTTACTGCTTCAAAATTTGATATTTTTGTACTTACACATGACAAACCTATGGGTGTGAATGCATGTTTGTATGTATGTTACATAAATATTGAGATTAATGCTCATTCTTTAAAGATGCTCTGGAGCTAAGGTCATTTCGAAGTTTTTCTTTTGTCTTTTTTATATATTTATTCATTTATTATAAATCTATTCAACCTCATGGTCCCCATAATTTGTATTTTTGATTTGCTGAGAATATTCTCATTTAAGTGTTGGCGATTAGAACTTGATTTATTGTCTAAAACCCTGTTAGGAAGGAGGGGTTGGGAGGTGGGGTTAGTTTGGATTATCATCTTAAATTTGAAGTCTGAATGTTTTTACACTTTCTTTGGTTTACTTCTGTGGCTGATCGTTCTCCTCGTCTATAGGTTGATGTACTGCTATGCTTGGATTGCTTCCATGATGGAAGATTTGTTATTGGTCATTCAAGCATAGACTTTTTAAGGGTTGATGCTACAAAAGAGTATGATGATCTGGATGGGGAAAGTTGGACTAATCAGGAAACACTACTACTGCTTGAAGCAATGGAAATCTACAATGAAAACTGGAATGAAATAGCTGAACATGTCGGTACCAAGTCAAAAGCACAGTGCATCCTTCATTTTATTCGTCTTCCAATGGAGGATGGCCCACTGGAAAACATCGCAGTTCCAAGCGTGTCCCTCTCCTCAAATTTGTCAAACAGAGATGATTTTGGAAGACCACATTCAAGTTCAAATGGAGATTCAGCAGGTGTAATTACTAATTATGCACTTATTGTTTGTTATTCTACATGACATTGATGTGATTGTAACATTTTGTATTTTCGCTTTTCATTTATTCTGCTAGGATCCTGTCTTGAAGACCCTGATTCTGGGCATAGGCTTCCTTTTGCAAATTTTGCTAATCCAGTTATGGCCTTGGTAGGTGGATTTTTAAATTCTATGCTTTACATGGTTATTGCATCAAAATGTTCAGTCATAGCATATGATGTATTGATCTGCTTGTGTTTTTATCTGATGCGGTTTCATGTACCTTGATCGCTGTTTATCATTTGAAACCTTGGTAAATGGTTTCTACATCATCTCATCATCATTATTAACATTATTATTGGTATTCTAAATTTTGTCAATAGGTATGCTATATAGTGATTGGGATCCTATTTCTCTCTATATGTGCATTTTGTTAATCTTTGTCATTTAGTATATTGGAGGGGAATGTGCAATTTGCATGTATTCATACCTTTTTACATATATACATTGTTTCCTTTTATGAATTCCTTTATTCCCACTCTCTGAGTTGTCCACTTGTTCACCTAGTAGAATTTCTCTCACTGTAGTGGCAGAATTTTAGAAAACAGCTAACCAAGAGAGACCGGACAAACAAATAGAAGTTCCTGCTTAATTAGTAGTCAGAATTTTTTTTACATTTTTTTAATAATTTTTTTGTTTCTTCTTTTGATGAACTTTTTCAATGATGGGAAATTTTTGTATGCCATATATATAGTATAGTGTGATATAAGGTTTATGAAGCTCAATGTCATGTTTGAAGGTTCTTGGCATGATTCCATGTAACGTTAGACCTTAAGATTCTAGAGTATTTCATCATAGTTCTTTTTGTCAACTAAAGCTTGTTGTAAACAAATGACACACGCTATGAGAATGAGCTATCCTTTTAAATTTTCAGTCAGTGCTGATCTTTGAGATAAGTCTATTGTCATTGAGAATTCACGTGTCCTCTCTTCCACGCTCCTCACTTTAGTTACTCTTCCATTGCACACGTCCTCAGTCACATTGAGACATATAACTGATTCTCCATATTTTTTTGTGATACCCTCCACGTTTGTCTCTCTGAATGCTAACAAATGTTGATTCAAGTCAATGCATGCCATGTGGAGATGTATGCTCATGTAAAACTTTAGCTTCTTTACCAATTAAGTGTCAAGAAATGACGCAAGTAAAATTAAAATCTTTAGCTTCTTTACCATGCAACTGTCATCAGTTGGTTGGATAATTTTGATGCTGATCAAACGAAGCATGGAAGCTTTTTGAAATGAAAAAATGATCTATGATATCATGTTACTCTGTTGGGAAAGAGGCAACTTTTCTAATGGCACCCCCGGATTTTTTTTTTTGGGGGGATAAATAATGTGTTTTATTGAAAAAGCATCAAGATGATGCAAGAAATACAGAACAACCAAGAGATAGAAAGAAAGCTCGCCTAACCAATTACATCATCCAAAAAATCTAAGAAAGAAAAAAGACCCGGCTCAACTTTACACTCCAACCAACTATACATGGTAACTAAGAACTGATCCTCCAACCAAGCCACCGAATGCTCAATTTCTTGGAAAATTATCTTGTTTCGTTCTAGCCAAACCAACCACATCAAACAGAAAGGCACCAAGGTCCACACCCGCCGCCGACCCCGCCCAACCTGAGCCCCCCTCCAACTCCACAACATATCCACCACCCCTTTTGGCTGCACCCACGAAATCCCAAAAAGAGAACAAGCCAGCCCCCAAAGGCGAGAAGTAATAGAACAATAGAGGAATAAATGGTCAACTGACTCTGCATCAACACAACACATGCAACAACGGTTAAATAACACATGCCCTCGACGAACTAGATTATCAATGGTAAGATTACGACCTAAAGCAGCCATCCATAAAAAGAAGACCACCTTCGAAGGCATTCGAGGCACCCAAATACTCCTCCAAGGAAATGCATCTCCCACTACCCCCACCAAACTCCGATAAAAGGACCGAACAGAGAACTGACCTTTAGCTCCCTCCACACTCCAAACCAACAAATCTTCTCCCTTACCCGATAGACCTAACCCATATAGGAAACTGAACAACTCCCCCAACTGATCCGCTTCCCAATCCTGAACTTCACGCCGAAGCTGAATATCCCAAACCACCACCGCTCCACCCCCCAGATAAGAAGCAATCGTAGCCTCGCGGTCCCTTGCAATGCTAAAGATCAAAGGGAAGTGCACCTCCAACACCATCTTCCCACACCACCTATCCTTCCAGAATTGAACAGTCTCCCCAGTCCCCACACGGAAATGCATCCTCTCCCAAAACTCCCTTTTCCCCAAGTAAATACCTTTTCACAAGCCCTTCCCATGAGCCTCCATCACCTCCTCCGATCGCCAATCCCCCTCAACGACCCCAAACTTAGAAGCCACCACCTTACGCCATAAATGATCCCGCTCTCCAGCAAACCACCACAACTACTTCCCTAACAATGCTTGATTAAACTACACCAAACTCCTCACCCCCAAACCATCCACCTCCTTAGGAAGGCAAATCCGCCCCCACTCAACCAAGTGATATCTAAAATCCTCTCCCCCACCTCCCCATAGAAAGTCACTCTGAAGTTTTTGTAGATGCACAGTCACAGATGTGAGAATTACATGCAAGGACATAAAGTAAGTCGGAATGTTGCTCAACACACTCTTAATCAAAACCAACCGTCCCCCTTTTGATAAGTATTGCCGCTTCCATCCGGCCAAACAACGTTGTACCTATTCCACCAGTTCATCCCCATACCCCTGTCGCCTTGAAGGTAGTACCCAACGGCAATCCCAAGTAAGTCACTGGTAAAGTTGCTACCTTATAGCCTAAAACCGCCGCTACCTCAGGCATTCGCTGAACTTCCCTCACCAGGATCAACCCCGACTTGCTTAAATTAATCCGCAAGCCCGAAACAGCCTCAAAACAAATTAGAATACAACAAAGGAACCCCACTTGCTCCATATCCGCATCACAAAAAACCAAAGCATCATTAGCATACAGTAAATGAGACAACCCAATTGGTGTCCCAGTTGGAGACCCCACACTAAAACCCGCCACCAAACCTTCAAGCACAACCTTAAACAATAGACGACTAAAAGCCTCCATAACTAGGATGAACAACAGGGGATATAAAGGATCCCCCTACCGAAGACCTCGAAAAGTCGGAAAGAAACCAATCGGTGAACCATTCACCAAAACAGACATCCGCACCATGAATACACAGAACTTTATCCACTTAAACCATGTGGCCCCAAAACCCATCCGACACATAAGATAAAGTAGGAAATCCCAATTGACATTATCATAAGCCTTCTCAATATCAAATTTACAGACCAGACCAGGTTGCCCTCCCTGAGTCGGGAATCAACACACTCATTAGCGACTAAAACCGCATTCAAAATCTACCGCCCCCTTACACAAGCATTCTGGGATTCAGACACCACGCCCTGCAACTCACCCTGAAGTCTGTTTGCCAACACTTTCGCCAACAACTTATACACACTCCCAAGCAAACTAATAGGCCTGAAATCCCTCACATCCTTAGCCCCTCCTTTCTTCGGAATCAAAGCTAGGAAGGTCGCATTAAGGCTCCTCTCGAATTGCCCAGTGGTGAAAAAGGCCTCAAACATTGCCATCACATCCACTTTGACCACCTCCCAACAATGCTAGAAGAAAGCCAAAGTGAAACCATATGGACCCGGAGCCTTGTCACCACTCATCATCTTCAAAGCCCCACACACCTCCTCTGTGAAGGCCAGCTCCAAACCCTCCCTATTCCTTTCAGGAAGAATATCAAACAGCACCCCGTCCAACCCCGGCCTCCATGCCCCATCTTGTTCCTGAAAAAGCCGATGATAAAAACCCACAATACCGTCCTGAATCGTGTCATCCGTAGATAAATCTCTCCCATCCACCCGCATACGTACAACCTGATTAGCCTTTCTATGACCATTTGCTATCCCGTGGAAAAATTTGGTATTTCGGTCCCCATCCTTCAACCATAAGCAACGAGATTTCTGTCGGAAAGAAATTTCTTCCATATGAGCCAAACGAACATAATCCTGCTGTGTCGCCTCCCTTCTAGCCACATCCACCCCGAGAAGCCCACTAGACATTTCTTGCGCATCTAAGGACTGCAGAATGTCCACCACTTCTGCTTTTTGAACTTCCACCTAACCAAAAGTCTCCTTATTCCACAGTTTCAAACCCCTTTTGAGCATTTTTAATTTCTGAGCCAACGTGCAACTGGGTGTGCCACTAACTGAATAGCTACTCCACCACTGACGGGCCCTTTCTAAAAAGCCCTCCTATTGCAGCCACATATTCTCGAATCGAAAAGGCATTGGCCCACTGTGAAACCCTCCACTATCAAGCAAAATAGGCCAATGATCTGACACTGGACGGGTAAGCGACTTTGAATGACTTCTGAAAAGTGCTCCTCCCAACCACTAGTAACTAGAAATCTATCAATCCGGGACATCTGGTGGCCATTAGACCAAGTGAAACTCCCCCCATGAAGAGGCAAATCAACCAAATTCAACTTATCAATAAATGCATAGAAAGCCCGCATGGACCCATTCGCCCTACTACTCCCTAACTTCTTTGTCGGACATCGAACCATGTTCAAATCCCCCCCACACACCACGGCTCCAACCATCGATACGCAACATCCCCCAACTCCCCCAAAAAAGCACTCCTCTCTGAACTTCGAACCAGCCCATACAACCCAGAAAACACCCACCTGAAATTATCTTCCACACATCGGAACAAACACCCGAAAAACCTCCTACCTTCTCATCCTCCTTTACCACCACTCTATTATCCCAACAGAGAAGAACCTCTCTTGTCGTACCCACAGCTGGTAAGTATGTTCACTCCACAAACCGACCACCTCAGACCTCTCTCACCACATCTCCACCCAAGACCTCCATTTTTGTTTCCTGCAAACATACCACATCTGCTTTCGCACTACGAAGCAGTGAGCTGACTGCTAGGCGTTTGTCCTTCTCATTCAAGCCACGCACATTCCATGATAACACTTTTAACTTCATTTCAATAACAGAGGACCTCCTTGCTCTCTCCTTGGGCCCCGTCCACTCATCTCCCCTTCATGGTCATAGTTAACAGAACACTTCAAATTTCTGAACTCCCGTAACCTCTACGTTGCACCACTCTGGAAGAGCCACCCTCCTGTGATGAAGCTCTTTGCTGCTATGAGGTTTCCACTGCTGTGAATAAACTCATAGCCTCAGTCTCATGGCCTTCAAAAGATACATCGAGCAAACGACTGACCTCGCTGATCCTATTGAGCACCCACTCCGAAACAGTGTCCTCCGAAGGAGCCTCTAACCCATTCAAATCAACCTGACGCTCGACTTAACTTTGGGGCTGATCGGAAAAGGCCTCATCGTAAATGGCGGGAGTCGAGATGGCAATAGGATGTACCACAAGAGGCAGCTCCCTCCCAACCCAATTTGTCGCGGCATTCATTGCATCGTCATTTACCCAGTGCTGGCGTATATCCGCATTTGTATCAAAAGACTGGCTTGATGCTGTATCGTCTGTCGAAACATCGCGCAATCCACCCTGCTCCTCGTCGCGACCAGTGACAGACGTCGGCAGTGTAACCTTCTTCCCTTCCGCTGTAGATCTTGGAGTCGAAATCCGACCCGTCTGACTTGGATCCAAAACGCGACACAAATTGTTAAAGACCTGGGCCACTGGGTAGTGAACCCAGAATGGCCTTTAGCTCGTTTCACATAATGGGCCAACTTCTCCAAGCCTAACCCTTAGGCCCCAACCTCAATTTGGCCCACCCCATTATTACCTTGCAATAGGTTGATATCCGCTTCCTTGGGTCCTTGAAAAGATGGGCCACTAACTTTGTTAATATTTCTCCTACCCCGGCCCAAATCAGGGCCACCCTAAAATTGTGCCTTTAAGTGTAGGGCCCACTACCCAGTCCTTTTTGGTTGCCAGGCCTTCCTTGGGCCAACCCAACGCTGGGAAATCTACGGCTGCATCTTCATCTTTCCCAAATCACGGCGACCATCACGCAGAGTAGATCGCACCAAATTCCGATGTTCCATAACCAACTCACGACAATCACGCTGCTCCTGCAGGCCACAAGGCTCCACCATCGGTCCATCCTCCGACCAAATAGGCAACGAGTATCTCCAATCACCCCAACGAATGGTGATTCGCGCCGGAGCACCCCTAGCTGTTCCACAAACTTTGAGTCGAACACAACCCAGAGGTCCCTCCATCGCTGTTGCAACATCAACCTCCAGGAAACCCCCACAATGATCACCAATTGCACGATACACCTGCTCTCCACGAAGATGTAGTGGAAGTCCCAGCACCTGCACCCAAAAACTCTGTCTCAGTGATTGATGATTTCCCCTGGCACACAACGCCTCTGGTGGCCACCAGTCAAGACTCAGACATCGACCTTCAACCATCCATTTGCCTCCCAAAATTCTGATAGCTTCTACCTTAGATGGAAAAGCAAACAACACGTGCTGTCCTCCGATGACCTTCACTTGCACACCTCCACTAACCTTCCACAATCGGTTAACCCACGCCGATAGGCAAAATACCCCTATCCCCTTCTCCCCCAATTCTCCCACACGCCCCACCAGACACGAATTCAAAGAGGATACCCACTCGGCACCAGACCCCTGTCTCACCACCACATCCTCCCCCCCAACCCCGGGCACAACCATCGCCTTCCCAATCGGCCATGACTTACCTCTTCCCCCTCAAAAGTCCTGGCCTTTTATGACCCAGCCATTCCCTATCGAAAATCCATCCAAAACAAGAGCAGCACCCTCCCATCCATCCCCAAACGATGATTGTGGAAGGAACATCTCAGTACGAAGATCACCCATATGAACCACAATCTAAACAGCCGCCCTCACCTCCTTTGGACGAAGCCAACACGCCACACTTCGCCGACCCCCAGAGACCTGACCCAAAAACACCCCAACAGTGTTCATCTTGGATGCCTTCCTCATTTGATCCGCAACCCATTTGATCTTTGCACTGAACAACTCAATCGCTCGCCGAACCCCTTGACCACGTTCAACAATATCTACATGACGTCGACCTATCGCATCCGCCAGCCCCTCCTTAAACTCATAAGACTGATCACCCAAAAAAATCAATCTCCGACGAAGCTTGTCCGACTCCGCCGAAAAAATCACAGATTTTTTGAGATTGGAGGTATATATATATATCAACATAGATGATTACCTCACTCGGACTGTCAGGCTACAACTATTTTTCCTAAAAGATCAGTTATTTGGTTGAGAAGGTCATGTCAGTTTGGTTCCCAGGATTAGTGAGCCGGATCACAGATACGGCACCCCAGGATTTTTGATAATATACCAACACTGTAAATGCTATGATTTGGGTGACACGACTTTAAATTTTTAATGTGATTACATTTATTTTAAAAAGAAGTTAAATGTGATTGCATGTTTGCGATCAAATTTCCTTGTTCATGAGTTGATATATTTTGAGCTAAGGTTTGCTCAACCTCAGCTTGTTACTTATTTAAAAATGGATGTATTAAGTAAAAATCAATTAAAGTGTTTGATAGCCACAATTCGTATCACTTAAAATGTAGGCCAAAAGTTAAAATTTTTTCAAGTAGCAAGTTCTTACTTAATGCTTATTGAATTCATAACTACTTAAGCATAAGTATCGACGTGCACCGTTATGACCTTACTGCAATTGTTATCACCACCACTACTACACCCCCACCACTGCTTATTTCTGCCACCACTACCATGGCTATTGCCACTTCCATCACCCGTTCACCACCACTACTACACCCCAACCATTGCCAATTGCTGCCACCACTACCATGGCTGTTGCCACCTATGAAGCACGGACACGGGACACGGCAATTTTCAAAAAAAGGGGACACGGACACGGCGGGGGACACGGCGAATTTTTTTTTTTTTTAATATATATATTTGTATGTGTTATGTAAATTAACAAAAACTAACATAGTAACCATTAATTCAATAAATATAAGAGAGTAACCAATAAATATAACAGAATTTGAACTAGACATTTTTCCTATAAATTAACATTAACATTAGAAGGATAAAAAATAAAAAATAAAAAATAAAAAATAAAAAATAAAAAATAAAAAAGAAAATTTAAAAAAGAACCCCGCCGTGTCCCTTGGTGTGTCCAGATATGGACACGCGTGTCCCCGCCGTGTCCCTGCCGTGTCCCCTTCCAAAAAAATTATTAAATTAAAGGGACACGCCATCTGGTGTGTCCCGTACGTGTCCCCGTGTCCCCGGCGTGTCCGCGTGTCGGACACTGCCACGGCACCATTTTTGGAGTGTCCATGCTTCATAGGTTGCCACTGCCACCATCCATTCACCACCTCCACCCCTACCACAACCTTCATTGCCATCATCACCACATGTACCACTATCATTTCACTACCACCACCCTGTTGTTGTTGTTGGCACTACCGACACCTCTTCACCACCATTACCACAACCCTCTACCTCCACCTCCACCTCCACCATTGCCATCATTGCTATAGCCACCACCACCACTCTATCTACTACACCACTCCACTATCACCACAACCACTATCCCTTAGCATCCACGGCCATTACCATTGGTGCTATAGCCACCTCCACCTCCACCTCCATTTCCACCACCACCACAATTATCCCTCAACATCCACCACCATTGTCATTGGTGCCCTAGCCACCTCCACCTCACCACCGCTTCACCGCAATAATATAAAAACTGGAAGAGAAAATTTGAAAATAATATATTTCAAATTTTATCTTGTACACCAGACAATTTGTTTTAGTTCATCACTTTTATCAAACAAAATTTCAGCTTGAAAAGATCAGCATTCAGTTTTTAGTACTGAATTTTCAGTTTTATCAACCACCTTAGATGAGATTTCAATTAAATTTGTTTTGAATGAATGAGAGCCTCTTAGCATGCTGAGCCCAAATTATTCATGAAGGGCTGTATTAATTTGCTTGGTGCAAAAGTAGTTTAAATTTTGTTATGAATCTATAATCTCATGTCTTAATCTTTCATTAACATCTGCTCGCCAAAATTTTCATCTTATGAATCAAGTGTATATTCCAGTTTTGATGTGTTCTGGCTGGAATTCATTGAAGTGTTGAAACACTGAGCGTGAGAGTGATGTTTTCTTTTTCTTGGTTTTTTCAATCTTATTTTTGTTAGTGTTCTGGATATATGTTCTTTATTCTTTTACTCAATTTGACCCTGTTTAGATCTAAACTGTTGGAACCAAGGCCTTTGGCCTAGTGGTTGTGTAGTACCATTTTGTAGTGTGAGATTGTGGGTTCAACTCCAACGGAGAGGAGTTTGATATTCTTTGTGGTGTCTATTTCTCCCCCATTATGCACGTTTATATAGTTTATTTCTTCTGAAGTTTTCTTGTGGTGGTTGTTAGGCTTGGTCACTGTTGGCTTTCTAGCTATTTCAGTTTGATGTAATGCTTTTCATATTTGTAATTAATCTCCTACCAATTGAGCCCCCCCAAAATCTAACTGTTGGAATATTCCACTAGGTTGCATTTCTGGCCTCTGCTGTGGGCCCTAGAATTGCTGCGGCATGTGCCCATGTGTCCTTGGCAGTACTATCTGAGGATTCGCAAACAGCATCTGGGCATGGTAATAGGTGAGTGTCTCTTCACTTATTTCCTGTGCAGCATTGATATATAATACTCCATTTCAGCTTTTCTGCATCATCGTAATGGGCCTGTTTGGTGCAGCTTATTGTTTTAAGGTAAAAATTGTAAATAAGAAAGCAGAAGCCAAAACCATCCTCCCTCAACTTCTAGATAATCATCTTTTTTTCATCTATTTCTATCTAATAAGCTATAAGCAGAAACTTAAAAAAGGCTATTAGCAGCTCAGATAAGCTGCTCCAAATAGCCCCCAATGTCCTCAGCAATTAAGCATATAAATAAAAGATTTACAAAAAAGGCATATGTTTACACCTGCACTTTTCTTGCATTTTTACTCGCTGTTGTTTTGCAAATCCTTAAGCTTTCATTCAAGAGTGTTTTGTGCTTCTAGTTTCTGTGAGAAATTTTTTAAAATGATTTGGAAGTATAGAGGAACATTTAATTTCTATAGCTCATTAGAAACTTTGTCAAAGCTTTAGATTGGAAATGCGGTATTTATGTGATGTGTGTAGTTTCAGAACTTGAAAAGAAACTTAAAAGCTTCTTGTTTGACCTATGAAGGATGAATATGGAGAGTACGCGCAATAGTGAAGGCAGTTCTCATGGAGAAAATACAAACTCAAGTCAACAAAAAGGTAGAACGCTAATTTTGCTTGTTGATCTAATTTATCTTCCCTAACGGTTCGTGTAAATTAAAATTTTCAGAAGATAACTTGGAAGTACATGGTCAATGGAATCAGAATGGTGAGGCTGCTCCATTAACTGCTGAAAAGGTGAGATCTGCTGCCAAAGCTGGTCTTGCTGCTGCTGCAACAAAAGCAAAACTGTTTGCAGATCATGAAGAGCGTGAAATTCAAAGGCTATCTGCTAATATTATAAATCATCAGGTATATTTGTTGGGATGCTCTTATTTTGTGAAAGCTTTAATGATTCATTACCTTATGCTCTTCCTAATTCTAGTGTTTTCAATGAATAGTCAATTCTTCTGATTAAATTGCATGGGCATTGCTTTAGGCTTCAATGTAAACTAGTTTTTCGTAATTTCTACAATTATATCCTTGGTGTATATCAAATTATTGTATTTGGTTGCAACTTTTTTCTTCTTCCTTGGTTTTCCTTGTTTGTCCAGGTATATTAGTGTTAAGCTACCAATTTTCCCAAAAGCCTAAGCTATTAGTAAATGAGTCCAACAATGTATATTATGCTATCTAACATCCTCCCTCACATGCGACCCCGTCTTTCATGTGGAGAGACAAATAGAGAACCAAATAGAAGAAGAAGCAAACAACCAAACAAAGAAAAAGAAACCAAACGGGAAAAGAATATGAAATACCAACGGAGAGACTTGAACCCCAGATTGCTCTCTCAACCTGAGCCCTGATGTTTAAGTTACTAATTTTCTCAAAAACTTAAGCTATTAGAAAATGTGCACAACAATGTATATTAAGCTATCTAACAATTAGAACTTTGAATTCTGACCAATAAAATGGTTGCCGTTTTGGTTGGGCTTTAGGTACATGATGTACATTGAAGTTGCCAAAGTAGATGTAGGACTTATTGGGTTGTAGAAAGGAAAGAATGGCCTGTCTGTCACCTTTTATGCCTTTCTTTTTTTCATTTCATCACTCTTCACTTCAACATGGCGAAGGGCATTTTTTTTTTCCCTTTTCAAAAAGCAATTTTTAGTTTAGCAGGTGATTATTGATGATTTTATGATTAAATTTAAATTAGTTATTCTTTCAGGTTTAACCTACCACTTTCAGGATTAACCAACAAAAAATGAAATTAGAGTTTCTTTTACTGGTATTCAGATATATTCCTACGTTTGTGGTTTGCTGGTTGTAGTAAGGTTAATGTAATGTAAGATGTGGTTTGCTTGTTGGCATTATTACCTGATGTTCGATTGAGACATTGGACCTGAAGTCTTGTGGGTAGGACATTCTGTCTATAGAATCAGTTATAGTTGGTAAGTTGTCTTTCAGATGCTGATAAGACTGCTGATGATGCACCGTTTCAAAAATAAAAAAAATATAAAATAAAATAAAAGGAGAAAGAAAGAAAGATAAAGACTGCTGATAACATATCCAATTTCAGTTCGAATTACTGCATACTAGATTGCTTTTAGTTGTTCGTGTTAGGATGAAGTAGGTTCTGTTAGATTTTACCAGATAATTTGCTGATGTTATTAGTCACTCCAATAAAATTCTTATATAGATGGTGTAAATCCTTTTTGAGCTTTTGTGTGTTGTTTTTTCTCAGGGAATGTGAGCTTGGCTTATAGGGTATGCTAATAGATTGTCACCACTATTCATGTTCTATTGTTCTGGTTCATTATGGTGATATTTTTATCTCAGTTCTGCATAATTTATCAACTAACGAAGTTAGGAGGTGAATGTGGATAAAAAAAAAACCTCTTTCATTCAGAGTTCATTGGGTTCTGCCAGCTTTACTGCCCAAAGTTTATGGCATGTTACACTGTTCAAAATATTCTCTTGATTGGGCTGGAAACAAAATCTTAATTAGGCGTTAAATAACCCTGTGTGACCATTTTTCTGCTGCAACTTTTGTTTCTCTGTTACAGTTGAAGAGATTAGAGCTCAAGCTGAAGCAATTTGCAGAGGTGGAAACCATGTTAATGAAAGAATGTGAACAAGTGGAAAGGGCGAGGCAGAGGATTGCTGCTGAGCGGACCCGCATGACATCGGCTCAGTTTGGACCTGCTGCAGTGACTTCATCTACAAGCCTACCAGGCATCGTCAATCCTTCCATGGTTAATAACACTGCCAATAACAGACAACCTGTCATCGCAGGTACGTCCTCACAACCATTTATTTCTGGGTATGGGAATAACCAACCCATCCATCCCCAATTCATGGCTCGACAGCAAATGTATGGACTTGGGCCACGACTGCCACTCTCGGCTTTACACCCATCCTCATCAGCGGCTCCTAATGCTATGTTCAATGCTGCAACAAATGCTCAGCCCACTCTCAATCATTCGATGCTGAGGCCTGTATCGGGGACTAGCTCTGGTTTAGGTTGAAAATTAGGTAAAAGCAATTCAGTATTGGATGTCTCTGGTTTTATTAAGTCTTCTCTCTCCTTTTCCATGTTAAAGAAGGGAGTAAGATGGGGTGATACGGAAATAGCCGTGAACTAGTCTGTGTCACATTCTCAAGTTTTAATTTGGAAGGAGTCACTTGGAGCGGTAGGGATTGGATCTATTGCGAAACGAACCAATTTTTCAGAGGCACAGTTAATTGGTTGGTTCATGTAGCACTTAATTGTTATTTGTATTTTTATTGTTAGTCTTCACATTCAATTGTAAAGATGAAGAAATTGATCAGGATGCTAATTTTTTTTTTTTTGTGGGTAGGTAAGATGCTAAAATTATTGCTAGGTGTTGTACAGATAATGCAAGGAATTAGGGCAATTAAGGCTGATTTGATGATTTTAGTGTTCAGTTTACTTCATAATATAGAAGTTCTCTCTCCAAAAATTAATTGTTCCTAGCCTAGGATGCTAGTAGATTGGTGGATGAATGGTTCTTCAATTAACTTTGTCTAAAAGGTCTGAAGTTGAATATCAAATTCATTTATATCTTGTCTAATATAGATCATTGGTCTTATTCTAATAATAACATTAGGGTCTTTCAATTTTAAACTAGGATTACGTTGTTATAGTTTTAATGGATTTTTATTAAAATTTTCTTTTAGAATTTTATAAATCCAATGTGATTTATCATTAATTTTGATGATGGGAGTTAAATCACTGCGCGAAATGAGTGCAAATTCTTTATCACAAATATATTTATATTGTTCTAATAAGAGAATATGAATTAAGACATTGTTTATGCTTAATGAAATGATTTTTTCTTGCATTTGCATTAGAAGGTATTTATATGTAAAATTATTTTCAAGAAGGAAATCTTCATTCATGTAAGGGAAATATAGAATTTTTGGTATAATGAACTTGCTATTATCTAACCAAGTAATATTTTTAGCCTTGAATTGTATGATAATATGGTTCCTATCAATTCCAATAATTAAAATTGGATGTTTCATTAATGTTCATTTTTCTTTTGCTATGTCATTCCATTTACATGAGCTGATTGTAACTCCTGTATTTTTGAGGACACTGGGTTTATAACCTGCAAAATTAAATATTTTCAATACATGTATCTTCTTTTTCCTTGGCTAGGAGAAAAAATAATATCATTATTTTTTTTGTTTGAAAATGATACATATATGCAGATTTAATATGTTAAGATTCTCTTATTGTTCTTGGAAAAATAAAAATCTGAACATTTGTTGAAACAACAGATTCTTGAATAGAATTATTATTTGATTTATCAATGCTTAATTTTGAAAATGATTTGTTAGGAATTTTTTTTTCACAAATACAGAAGTTGATTTTTTAATTTTTAGAATTGTATTTTGAATATATAAATTTTTTTTCCTGACGATTGTATTTGCAGTTGGGCAGGATTTTTTATTTTAGAAGATTCTCCTTGTTTCATTAGGTCATGGATTAACCATTGTCGATGGACTTCTAAATCACTCAAATTCATTAGATGCGGTTGGATTATCGTGTCAAATGGTCTAGGTTCAAAGATTTTAACAATTTTATTATTGTTTGATCTTGTTTTTGTTTCAGGAAATTTGGTCAATTCATGAATTGTTTTCCAACGAATAGTCAAATCATGGGAATTCAATTTTATTCTTAATCCTTGTGTTTTAATTCTTATTTTAACTGTGTCCTCAAGATTAGGATCATTTATGGAAATAAAGAAATTTGGTCTAATATTAAACCAAACTACTCTATTAACCAAATTAGATTGAATTCTTCCGATAATTGCTTTCATTGGGTCGGAAAATATTTTATCAAAGATTACTGTCAAAATAGGAGTATCTATCCCTTGACGGAATAAGGCTGTTATGGTTACCTGTATTAATCCAATATAAATATATTGAATCTAGGGGTATTTTTTTATTTTTTTTTTATCTTGTAACATTTTTCTGTTCAAAAAAAGAAATATCAATATTTTCTTCTTTTGACCATTTTGCTTGAGTGTTGCCACTGTATTATTCAAACACTCTTGCTGAAAAGAAATTGAATTTTGAAAGTTTGTAAATTTTTGGCATAGCAATTTCTTGCATTTTTTTCGAATTTTGCTAATTCTTCTTTGATAAAAGTTTTTTTTTCTCCGATTACATCTCCAAATCGAATTGTTTGTAATTCTTCTTGAGATATACTATCTCCTTCTTGAGATATTTATTGACTATCTATATTAGTCATCATAAAGATTAGTTCTTCATCTGAACTTTTTTTATTCCTAGAAATTTCGTATAAGATTTTTACTTCATCATAAATTTCTTCACCTTACATTATTTCAAAATCTTGTTGTTCAAGAACTTTGATAATTTTCTTTGCACTTTTTCCCCTTTTTGAGCATTCGGGTGCATAGTGACCTTTTTCGTTACAAATGCAACATTTACAAATTTCCTTTTTTGAAATACTTGCTGGTTTGTTTTTTCGAATATACTTTTTCTTTTTTGAAATTTTTTTCTTCTTTTTCCAAGGTTTCCATTTATATTTTCTGCGTTTTTTGAAAAATCATTTTCGCTTGAGAAATTTATTACAACTAATTTTTCAATTTTCTTTTAAAATTTTATCATAACATTTTTGATTATATTGTGAGTTGAAAATTTAATTTTTTATTTGTTTTTTCGCCTTTGCTTCTAGATATCGATCTGCAATCAGTTTTAGAACATAAATAATGCGAAAGCCAAGATTATCATATTCTTCTTTTCCCATTTTTTTTGAGAAAGTCAGGATATGCTTTAATACATAACTCATCCCATGGATTAGGGAGTTTATGAAAAAATTGATCTAATCAGGGTTGATTTGCTGGTGGATCAATAAGATAATAATATTTTTTAAATGTTTAAATCTGAGTCTTTATGTAATTTTCTCCAATAATCCAATATTTCAACAATATTTTCATATTCAGTCCTATTATAGGTATTAGTTTGAAGTATCATAATATCTTATGTACCATAAAATAGTCAAGGAATGGAGTTATCTCCTGGACTATTCATTTCATCATTGTTTATGAAGGATAGGAATGGCAACGGGGCGGGCCGGGGCCGGGGATCATACTCCCCGTCCCCGATCCCCGATGGTAACAATGTCCCCGTCCCCGGCCCCGATCCCCGACGGGGAACCTATTACCATCCCCATCCCCGTCCCCTAACGGGGATCGGGTTTCCCCGACCCCGAAAATTCCCCAAAAAAAAATAACAACAAAAAACAAACAAACCGAGATCATCGGATCAACATCAACATCATCAACAACAACTACAACTACAATTTGTTTCATCTGATGATCATCAACATCAACAACTAATAGTGAGATAAAGAGAGATAAAGAGAGACATCAACAAACAGAGATAAAATAGCAGTGAAACTCATATCTCATCTCAGATCTACAAAACTCAGATCTCCGATCGATTTGTTCCGTCTTCACCTTCTCAAAGAGTGCTCGGAACTGAGAGAAAAAGAGGCATCAATGGAGAAGTTGCAGACGATGGTAGCGGGATCGCCTTTGGAGACGACGGTAGTGGCGGGATCGCCTTTGGAGACGACGGTGGTGGCGGGATTGCCTTTGGAGATGACGGTGATAAAGGAAAAAATAGATCAGTGAGTGAAGGGAAGGGAGAGGAGATCGGTGGTGGCGAGTGAAGAAGATCAGCGGTGAAGGGTGAAGAAGATCGGCGGTGAAGGGAAGGGAGAGAGGGGGGGAGTGGAGGGAAGGAAAGGAGGGGGAGAGAGAGAGAGAGAGAGAGAGAGAGAATGAGTGAGGGAGAGAAATGAATCACGCGGCTGAAATGAAAATGAGATTCAACCCTAAACTAAACAAATATATATACGGGGATGCTCGGGTATTACTCGGGGCGGGGCCGGGCCGGGGCCGAGAAACCTATCCCCGTCCCCGGCCCCGAAACTATCGGGGATTTAATTTTCAATACCATCCCCGGCCCTATGGGGATAATTTTCGGGGAAAACCCGTTCTAATCGGGGTCGGGGGTTCGGGTCCCCGTCGGGCCGGGGTCAAATTACCATCCCTAAATGGTACATAACGAAAATTTCAAGAAATGACGATGGAGGTGCTAGATAGGACTTTTTCTCCGCCACACCTTTTCAACATCAAAGGCCAGGAGAGTCCTCTGCCAGACCAAAAATTGTCAACGTAATCCAGTTCCGCACCAGTCCTTCTATCCAGGTGTCTCTCGGGTCGATGGACAAATTCGGCCACATCATCCATAAATAATATCTTATGTACCATAAAATAGCCAAGGAATGGAGTTATCTCCTGGACTATTCATTTCATCATTGTTTATGAAGGATATACTTTCTAATTTTGTCACCAAATTGTTTATTTGGGTTTTTGCTTCTTTGTTTAAGTCAATATTTATTATAGAACCTAAATTGTCTATTTTAGATTCTATAGACTCCCCTTTAGATTCTAGATAATTTTGATTTATTTTTTGATTTTTATCTAATTTAGAAAACCAAGAGCACATAATATCGTTAATATTATTTAAACTAGAACACACACTATTTATATTTGCTGACTTTTTAGTAATATGCAAACTATGGTCATATTTATTATTAACATTATTTTTTATATTTCCAAAGCATATTATATCTTCAAGATTAATTGCCATTATAGATTGTTGTTGATACCTAATACCCTCTTAGTGTATTTATCTAGTGCCTAAAACTTCTCTTTTATGATCTTAAAGACTTAAAAATGCCTAATCATGGCTAATAGTCAAAAGATCTTAATGAGTATATAGGTTTTGACATATATTAAGCATATAGGCTTTACAACAACTATAAATAAAACAAATAATGATGAAGATATAAAATACAAAGGATACACAATTAAAGACTAAACTTTTTATTTATTTATTTATTAATATCATCAAGCACACCAAACACACTTATCAAAATTTATACATAGACAGAAATACTTACGCAGTTTGATCTTGCTTTCAAAAGCTCTTCACCAGGCTCTGATACCAATTTTAGAATAACAAAAAGGAAATGAACTTTCTACTATTTTATTGTGGAGTTATGGAGTAAGAGAAAATTAGAGAAGTTAGGCAAAGATGTAGGCAACAAAGGAATAGTGAAAATTTACATTGCTTCATTCGTTGGCTTGAATGCCAATTTATAGAATACATTTTGTATATACAAACAAAAACCAAAGGTCATCCTAATCCAAAAAGTCTATCATAATATTATTACATATCTAATTTGTTGACATTTACAACACCAATAAGGCCAAAAACTTTCCAACTTTCTACAAAAGTCTACAAGGCATAGGCTTATACAAAGTTTCCATACAAAAATAAATGCAAAGACAAAAAAGTCCTTAGAAAAATAAATGAAAAATTACAATTATTTGTCATATTCTGACAAAAACCAATTATATACACTGTCGACCCTCCCCCGTGGTTCAGAGAGATAGACTGATATAGATAAGATTTGGTTGATCTTATTTGTCGTGTAGCGTCGGCTGGAAGGATTTGTCTGACCACTTTCCGCCTAATAATGCAGGTTGCTCCATGTGTCCTGGATAAGGTTGGAGTCGATCATGAGACAATTGCATGTGATAGTGGGGTCCACTATGCTTCCATCCTGTTGATGAGATTGTGATATTCTTCATCAGTCTCTGATGAAGGGGAATCAAGATCCTGGTCTTATCGCTCATTCTGAATTTGTTCTACATCATTCGCAGTCATGGCTAGTTCCAACGGAAGATCCAAATTATTTCTCTTTTTAAGATTTAATAACATGTCAAGAGCCTCATTAATTTTTCTAGGAGACTTTTGATATGTTATGGGAAAATGAGTTACAAATAGTATTCTACCATCTGTGACCCATGAATGGCAATTTTGCTGAGCCATGGATATTAGAAGCTTCCTGTGAAACAGTTATTAGACTATCTAATCTAATATTATGTTAAAGGAAGTTTTTGAATATTTTCCAATCGCTCCTTCCGGCGATCTTCATCCAAATAATTATCTTCAAATTCAAAATCTTCAATTTTTTTGAATTTTGGTATGGTTGGAAAAAATATTCTTGTTCTCGCCAACCAATTGTGTTGGAGATCCAGAAAGTAAAATATTTACACTATCGGAAGTCTTTTACTACCCATGAGAACACTACTTTTATGATCATTGGATATTCTATCCACTGGATTGGATCTAAAATTTGAAAAATAACTTGATTAGTTATTTCCCAATCTACGTCTTCAAAAAACCACATGTCATGGTTTGCCATAATGGTTATTTTGAGAATTTCATTTTTAAAATTTAATTTATCATAAGATCGTTCTAAGATTTGTCTAATCTTATCAGGATGATCCTCAACGCAATTTTTGATTAATAGAAATTTTTTTTTTGGAAGCAAAGTTCTTATTTTTTCAAAAAGACAAATTCTTTTTATTTGTTCAAAAATTGGGTCAGAAAAATCATTTGATATGAGGTCTGATAGCTAAAGAAAATTATTTTTTTTTCAAAATTAACTTCTTCATCCCAATTTATTTGTTTAAGGATATTGAAACAAAGATTTTGCAAATATTTTAATTTAGCTGTTTGCTCAGCTAATTTATTGTCCAGAACTCCTATATGTTTTCGAAATTTCACTTCGTTGTCTACAATACGAGTTTTCTAAACTCCATTGAGTTTTGTATAAATTTCTCTAGATATATCAGGGTTGAAAAAATCTTTTATTTCAGATTCATCTAGTTTCGATGTCTGAATATTAGTTGGAATTGTGTTAGTTTTCATTTGATAAAAATTATTTTGATAAACAGGCATAGCTGGTGCACTGTAAAAAGCTTTTTTAGCTTTGGTCAAGCTATCATAGGATTTAAAACTTGCTCCTAGAAATCCGCAAACTTGCTTATTGCACTCATTCCATTCTGTGTAAATTTCAGGTTGTCTTCTTGCAAACACAATATAAACTTTTTTTTGTTTGGAATTGTCACCCAATCTCCTTGAGTGGGTTGTTTTCATTTTTTCCTCTTGGTCTATAGGTCTTTTGCAAAAATTAAAATTACTTGTTTAGTAATTTAATTTTCTGAAACAATTCCTACTAAGAAAATCTGTAAGAAAATTGTTAGTACCTTTAAGTTATTTTACCTCAAAAGTATATTCTGAAATTTTATTATACCAGGCTAATCTTCTTTCTTGCTCAATATGTTTTTTATTGATCAAGAAATCTCTTACTGTCTTATTATCAGTGTGTATAATAAAATTTTCTAAGATATAAAAACTTTTTATTGCCAATTTTATTGCAAGTAATTCTTTTTCAAAAATAATATATTTTTGTTCATTTGGTTTAAATGTTTCAGAATTATATTCATAAATTAGTTCTTCTTTTTTGTAATTTTATGGGTATTGAATTTTTTTTCTTGATCTAATCCCATTTTCTGATAAAGGTATCTCTTTATCATGCCATAAGTTACTTGGTATTGCTTTAAGAACACATCCCAGCATGCTTTTGAGGAATCTGTTTTTAAAATTAATTTACCACCTGTTTTAGGAAGATAAATATCTGGTAAAGTTTTAACATTTTCTTTAATTTGTTTAATTAAAGCAACATTTTCTGCTGTCCATTTGAAAATAACATTTTTCCTTAATTTAGTTAACCAAAGAATTTCTATTTTTGAAAGATTTTTGATAAAATTTCATCCATAATTTAAAATACCAAATAAAGTTTGTAATTTTGTTATATTTTCAAAAGTATTAGGAAAATGTTCCTGTAATTTTAACCTTTCTGGCCTAAAATTATTCTTAAAAATTCAATTGATTCTTTTTCTAATTCAATCTTTTTTGGAGATAACATGATTCCATGTTTTTAGAAATTTTCACAAACTAATTTTAAATGTTTCTTATGCTCCTCCGTTTTAGAGAAGATAGGTATATCATCAATATAAACTACACAGCAATCTTTAAGATCTTTAAAAATTGTATCCATCCACCGTTGAAATATCTGTAGTGCTATATTTAACCCAAAAGGCATAACATTTCAGTGGTAATGTCTTCTAGGTGTACTAAAAGCTGTCAATTTTTTTTTGATTCTTCAGTTAATTGAATTTGCCAAAATCTACTTTTACAATCAAATTTGCTAAAGATTTTTGATCCTTTGATTAAGTTAATCAAAACATCTTTTTGTGGAATAAAATATTCATCAAATTCTAAATTTTCATTTAGCCGTTTATAGTTAACTACCATTCGGGCTTTTCCTTTTTTAATTCCCGCATGGTTTCTTACCATAAAAACTGGACTAGAGTGAGGGCTTTTAGTTTCTTCAATTAACTTTTTGTCTAAAAGGTCTTGAAGTTGAATATCAATATCATCTTTATCTTGTCTAGTATAGATCATTAGTCTTATTCTAATGATAACACTAGGGCCTTTCAATTTTAAACTACAATAACGCAAACTATGTTGCAATAGTTTTAATGGATTTTCACTAATGTTATGTTTAGAACTTAAGAGAGAAAAGAAAAGAAATGATTACTTAAGTTATAAGAGAAAAGAAAAGACAAGAAAAGAAAAGAAAAGAAATAATTGTAATTTTTCTCATTTTTGTTTGGATAAATAAGAAACAAAAGAAAAGAAATGATTGTAATTTCTTTCCTTCTTGTTTGGTTAGATTTCATAAAAGAAAAGAAAAGAAAAGAAACTTGTTTTATGTTATATTACCAAAATAACCTTTTTATATTTTGTCAATCATTTTATTTCTTTTATTTTTACAGGGACAAAATTGATATTTTGAAAATATAAAATTTGTTGGTTTCTTTGTTCTCCCAATCTCTCCACTTTTGGAAAGACTAAAAATGAGAGTTATAAGAGAAATGAATTCATTTCTCCAAATTTCTCTTCACTTAAATTATCCAAACAAGTAAGAAAAATACATCTCTCTATTTCTTTTCTTTTCTCTCAAAATCATTCAATCCAAACATAGTGTAAAATTTTTTTCTAGAATTTTATAAATCTAATATGATTCATCAATGGTTTTGATGTTGATTGTTCTTTCGAGGGAATGTGGTATTGTTAATGCTTATAGCTTTGAATGCTTCCTCTGGTTCTACAAAATGATAACTGTTCCAGGGTAATCTAAGTGGTAAATAAGCCGAGCCTATTATTTAGTTGCTCAAGCTTGGTTTGAAAACTTTAATGAGCTTTGAGCTTGGTTTATATTACTGTTGAAATGAGCTTTATTCAACCTGAGTTCTTGTAGTTCAATTTTCTTATAGTCTTGAAAGTGTCAAGCTGGGCTTAAAAAATTAACAAATTTCAAAAGGATTTTAACTTTCATACATTGAATGTTAGATATTGAAACTTCTAGAGAGTTGAAGTCAAATAACTTAGATACGTTTTGGTGCTTGATGCTTGAACTTTGCAGTCATTGCATGGAAGTAAGTCTTAGCTTTTCAGGGAATCTGATTTCTTAAACAAAGGGTCTTTCATGCACTTCATGACTGAATTTTCTTGTACATGTGAACTGATGTAGGAATGTTTGATTACATTTATTTATCCAAAAAAAGAAAAAGAAAAAGAAAATTTGACATCATTAAACAAACAACTGCACTCTTCATGATTACCAAATAGGAGCCCTTTGATCAAATGCCAATCCATATTGGCTGTTTAATTCGAAGGGTTCACCCCTTGACTTCACAATCCCTATTCAGGCAACGGGATATCAGCGAGGTCCTCCCTGTAAGGAACATGGTCATTGGATTCTGGCAACCCCTCGGATTTGCTTTGCCCTTTCTCCATATTCGCTATATTCGTTGGCTGGATGAATGTCACGACAACGTCCTTACGAAACATTAAGTAGATCACTGCTATGATATAGATAGCCATTACCGGAAAAACTATGATTCCAATGAACACAGTTGCAACTTTGGGTAAAGTGCTGTGGATTATCCACCCAACAAACGCGGTGCTTAAGTAGTAGATGTTTATGCCAATGATTAAAAGCCCTAAAATCCATGAGATGATAATAATCTGCATTGCATGATCTTCATATGGTTAGTTAAATACAAGTTGTTAAATCCAAATCCTAGTTTTCATTTCAACGATCAGGCTTGCAAACCCAATAGACTCAAATCTATGGATTAGTTGAAGATTCCAAAGGGTAGGATCTTTTGTTAAAGCTCTGTATTTTATAGAAAAATAATGTATGTTATCAAAAAAATTTCACCATTTTTTTTCACTTGAAAATACATTCTAGTCTATGTGTACATGTAAATGGGACTCAATATTATTTTTTGAATGTAGTGAATCCTACACACATGCATTTATATATATATATATATATATATATATTAATGTTTGTGGGGAAGTTTGGTTGAGCTTTTTGTTTTATTTTATTTAAGTTTGGTTGAGGTTCACTTCCAACATTTTTATATCTTGTATTTGTGAATTTGTTATTATCAGCTTTGTAGAGTAGATCAACTCTATAAAGATATGACTCTTCCAACAATGAATTGACTCTTCTAACAATGTTTTCTACACCCTAAGTAACTAACAACTAATTGCAAATCTTAAGACTATATATAATAAATAAAAAAATTTACAAATTTAAGACCACAAAATAAAAATAAGAAAAAAAAAAACTTACATATATTGAGTTTTTATGTGGCCCCATCTTGGCGGTACCGCTACTGAATTTTAGGAGTGGGAGGAGAGCAAATGGAAGTTCAAATGACAGTATCATCTACACACACACAAAAAAAAAAAAAAAAAAAAAAAAAACAAGAAAAGAAAAGATTAATTCATTAATGTCTATTGAATTAGTAAATAAAAACGATTTTTTTTTTTAATGCAATGAGTAACAAACCGATGCAATGATGATGAGCTGGCCAGCTCCGGACGCTCCACCAATAATTGAGACAATAAGACTAGGTGTGATGGCAATGCACCTTGTCAATAGGTTCCTCATCCATTTCTTCATCTTTAGATCCAAGAAACCCTAGATATTTCACCATGAATTAACTCATTAATATTGCATACTAACTTTAATTGTGCAAATGGGCAAAAATATTTTCTAATGAAAATAAAATAATAAGAAATTTTTTGCAACCTGCATGACAAACTGTCCAGCATATGTGCCTGTAATAGTGGAACTTTGCCCCGAGGCTAATAACGCAATGGCATATAAGGTTGAGCTTGATTTTCCTAACACATTCTGAAATTGAGAAATTATGTAATTAGAGTTTTTTCCTTGCCAAACATATGTACTTTTTAAATTTTTTTTTTTTTTTTAAAAGAGTGATTTAGACCTTTAGAAGGAAAGAAACTGAGTTGAGGGTGATATTGCTGCATTGATCTGAAGCTTCCTGTGAAATGTTCTTGGTTGTACAAATCGTTCCTGATACGGTGATTATTGCAATATTGATTAAAAATGCTATGAAGAATGCAAAACCACTCTCTATCAAGAAGTATCGACATGCATCCTGCAAAATTAGGAAATCCAAAGACAAGTAAATTACTCATGGACTTGTAGCTGATATAAGGTGTTGACATCTATTTTAGCTAATTTATTTTTTCAAATTTGATGGTAAATGTATCCATTATTTTATGCGATTGCAAGAATTATTTATGGTTCGAAAATCCGTAACTTATTTTTTATTTTCTTTTTTAATGCAGGAACAAGATAACTATTCTGCATTGCTGAAATTAATGCTAGTCATTTGTGTGCATATATAGTTGAATTTGGTCGTGGTAAAATTTTCTTGGAAAATATTTTACATTTGTGTGTATATAACCTATTTAAATATATACGTATAGAATATATTTGTTTTAACTGTAAAATTTATGGTTCATATTGTTGACTTACATTTATGCCTCGGACAGAATTTGGTACTTTTCTGGAGAGGACAAGAGCTGAGTGGAGAAAAAGATTATGCCTGTTGAGAAATAAATAAAATGAATAACTTAGTGCACATCCAAAAGAGGAAAAAAAAAAAAATAAAATAAATAAAAAACAAAAACATTAGTTAGTGAAACTTTGATAGAAATTTGATATTAGATCAAGAAATGTGTCGCATTAAAGATGATAGGGATCGTACGGCATAACTAAGGCGCCAAGTAAAGCAATGGTGTCGGCAACGGCGCCTTGACCTTTGAGCTTAGGGATAAACAACCCCTTAAGCAAATCTACTGCTGGAGGCTTCACATAACTCATTTCTCCGAAGAAACATGCTGCCATCATGAACACCAACACCGATATCACAAATTCCAGCTTCCTCACCTATTTAACCCAAAAAAATTGAGGAAAATTATAATTAGATCTATTTTTTTTTCTTTTTTTTTTCTTCATTCATCATATTTGTAAATTAAACTATCAAAGTGGTCCATATTTTTAACATATTGTGGAAAATCACTCATCATTTAAAGGGTCTAGGAAGAATGCATCTAGAAAATTAATGTTTTGTTTAGTTTTAGATGATTTGTAATTTAGTTTTCCTTCAGTTTCTTTCCCTTTCTCGAGAAACAAGCTGGATTTGCTATACCCACACTGGAAAGTTACGCTACAATTGCAGGAGTACCTCAATAAATGGTTCATGCAATGCTAATGTCCAAAATATTGTAACAGGGCTGGCCTTATTATAAGGTTAGGCAAGCCCAAGCTTTAGGCCCTAAATTTGGGAAGGCCTAATTTTTTGATATAATGTAATAAGTTTATGTGATTTATTATTTATTTTTTGAATAAAAAAGCTTAAAACAAAACAAAACAAAACATAACCAAACAAAAAGGCTCAAAACAAAAGGGCTAAGAGAGAGAGAGTGTCCTAGAATTATAATTCTAACGATTTAGGCTAGCAGCCTTGCCTGGCGAGCTAAGATTGGCCTTGTGGGTTTAGACAAGGTGAGGAAAGTTTGGATTAAAAAACCTAACGTCACTTGTGTTTTTGCAATATCTTCGGTAAGTTTTGCGTTGGTCATAGAATCTGAAGCTATGATGAAACATCCTAGGTTCCGCGTCAGAGAACACACACACACAGAAAAACAGTGTTATAGATTTTTTTTAAATGGGATGGGAACAGTTGAGTTCTAATGGAAGTGAAATAATTTTTCCTTGATCGTAGAGATATCTCTCTCTATATTCTGATTGACTCTCTCTCTTTCTCGTTCAAATATTCGACTCTCTCTCTCTCTCTTTTCGATATTCGTCTCTCTCTCTCTCTATTAAAAAAAAAACTTCCTCTCTCTTTGCACTATTCTTTAGGGCTTGATTCATCATCAACAATTATGTTATTCTTGGTTCACTATCTGCACTATTCTGTGATTCACTATTTGCACAATTCTGTGATTCACTATCTGCACTATTCTTCAAGACTTGATTCATTATCAACAATTTTGTTATTCATCATCAACAAGGCTTGATTCATCCTCAGGTTGTATTGTTCTACCCTTTTAATATATTTTTTTCTATTTTTATTATTTCAAAAAGCTAGAAAAATAAATTTTAAATAAATATTTTATTTAAAATAATTATTACATAAAAGGCCTCAATTTTTATTATTGTTTTAGGCCACAAATTATCAACAGCCGGGCCTGGTAAGTAAATTATGTTGCCATACGTAATAAGGGGACTTACTTGTAAGTCGTAATAGGTAAATTTATTGTCCAATAGATTCTATAAGAATTAATGATGTTTTTATCAAACACCACTAAAAAAGTCACTAATTGTTAATTTTCAGTGACAGTTTGAAAATTGTCACAAAAAATATTACTAATTATAAATTTTAGTGACAGTTTAAAAAAATCGTCACAAAAAAAGTCACTAATTTTTAACTTTCAGTGATAGTTTGAAAAAATCGTTACCGAAAAATGTCATTAATTGTAAATTTTAGAGATAATTTATGAAAACCATGACAAAAAAAAAAGTCACTAATTGTTAATTTTTAGGGATATATGCAAAAAATCGTTACAAAAATTTTTGAAGATGATTTTATTATGATTTATTTTTAATAAGACTTGATGAAAATTAAGTCTAACTATTAGTACCTATTAATAATTTACCCTACTTAATAAATACAGCGCTTACTAAATAAGATAAAAAATTTAATATTCAATATGAAGTTCTTAAAAAATCATAGCTGCAGGAATTATATACATCTTATATTCTATTTGAAACAAAGAAGAAGAAGAAGAAGAAACAAAGAAGAAGAAGACTTACAATGGATTCTTCATATGCATAAATAATGATGTTTACAAAAGTATCTTGTTTAACTAATAAATAATAATCTCTTCATATATATTTTACATCCTTGAACATGAGTAGTGATTTTGGAAGGTATGTGAAAGATATACCAAGATAAGGAGAATATTATCACAAAAGTAAAGCACAAAAAGTAAATTAGCCACAAAAAAAAAAAAAAAAAAGTCAATGATTTGTCATGATTTTTTTAATTGGTTGTCTTAGTTTTATTTCTTATTTTTTTTTGGAGAGTAATTTACAAATATAATAAATATTTACACCATCAAACAACCAATAGAAAGTTTTCGGTATGTAGAAAGGCCACAAAAAGAATGATTAATCATAATATTACCCCATATCTTTGCAGACCAAGAAGTAGGAGACTGCTCAAACCAGTCATGAGAACTCCGGCCCAGAGTGGGATGTGAAACAGTATGTTTAAGGCAAAAGCTGTCCCAATCACTGTCACAAAATAAACATTAACAAAAATTAAGTATCATATGAACATAAAGACCTCCTAACAAATAAGAAATTTTTTTTGGTCTCGACTAATTATAATCTGTCAAATCAAAAAAGTGAGACTCAAAATCTCACATTTCCAATAAGTAATCCCGCTAAAATAGAACTTCAGATCCTACCTTTTCTTATTGAACATAAATATTATTTATCATAGGTCATACCTTCAGGAATATCTGCTGCTATGACAGCAACCTCTGCCAGTATCCACAGGCAATACTTCACATATTTGGGGTACTCGGCCTTGCACAACTCTGCTAAATGTTTGCCTGGCAATCCGAGGATTGAAAAAACCAAAAATACTTACTCAGTGATCAATCCGTTTCAAAATATTAGCCTCTTATTTTATTTTTTCATTATTCTAAAATATTAGTTCCTTTTAAAAAATCGATGACTAAAATAATATGAATTTCCTATTTTGCCATTTTTTTAAATTCATTAACAACACAAAAAGTATAATTATAACCATTGATATTTCTAAAAAATGTATCATCAAAGGGTAATTTTGACAAAATCAAAAATTTTAAAGTGAAATAATTATTCTATCAAAAAAAAGTTAGATTCTTCAAAAGAGATTATTATTTTGGGATGGAGGGAGTATTAATCTGTATTTGTTTTGTCAGTTACTTTATAGGCTTTTTTTTTTTGTTTTTGTTTTTGCATGTTACTTACCCGTGCTTACACCAAGATTTGCAGCGAGTGATTGAATTATGAGAGCGAAGATCATTCCGACAAGGATCACCCAAAGTAACTGCATATATAGTATATGAAATGGGGACTCATTAGTTTCCCAGTCTTGCATGCAAATTATCCACTATAACACAAACTTTAGAAGTTAATTAGGCTTTTCCCTTTCTTTTCTAGTCTTTTCTTTCTTTCATCATTTATAAACTGTTTCTTTGCTTCAATTTGATAATTGTTGGTTTTTGTTGTTATAATTTATTACCTCATATCCATGGTTAGCTCCTGCTTGCAAATCAGTTTCCACTGTGACATTGCAACCAGGAATTATAAAGTTAACAAATAAAAAAAAAAAAACAAGCGAGAGAGAGAGAGACAGAGAGTCACAGAGAGACTAACAGTTTCCAGGGTCAAGATATGCCAATGAAACAAGGAAACCTGGGCCAACGAATGACAGAAACTTTCTCCAACTAGGTGTCTAAAACCAAAAAAAAAAAAAACAAAAACACATGTGATCTTCAGGAGTTAAAGCAAAAATACAATTCAAAAGATTAGAGAAAGAGTATAGTGTGTACAAAACACATGTGATCTTCAGGAGTTAAAGCAAAAATACAATTCAAAAGATTAGAGAAAGAGTATAGTGTGTACCTGGTGCTTTTGTTCTTCACGATCAAAGTCTTTGTAGGTGTTGTTGGATTGAGTCTTCATCTCCAACTCCTCAACATCGACCTGTGTGATGCGATTGCTTCCTCTAGTAACTTGTTGCTGCTGCAGGCTTGCCATCTCTCTCTCTCTCTCTCTCTATATCTCTCTCTCTGTCTCCCCTCTTTTCTCCGCTCTTTTCTCTGTGTGTGCAACTTAAATCTCTCCTCTATTTGTAGTGCATGCTTGATGTGTTTTGAATCATGAAAGTGACATATGCAAAGAAGATCATCTAAAACATCAGTGAGCCTTATTATTTCATTTAATTGACGGTGATATACATTTTAGGGGAATTGACCAGTAAATCCCGTTTTGTATACTTGTAATCCAAAAGATTCTAAATATTTTTTTAGTGACTGAGTGATCTCTTAAATTATTTGTTGATTGTTTTGCCATTGTTAGTTCAGTTGGGGGACAGGTGGCTTGGTTATGTATGGGGAATGTGGTGGAGTGCTTGTGTGTCACGTTGTTTGAAAAGCGCACTAGTAGCTTTTTAAAATTTTGTTGTTTTTAACAAGTGTATTGTGGGACGTGAATTCCTTAATAATTATTTTTTGGTGCGTGACGTGAAGACACACAGTAATTCAATTAATTGGGTCCGCCACGTTGGAGTGTCACATGTCATGTTTAGGAAAAATACACTAAGAAATTTTTATATATAGGAAATGTGGTGGGGTGTTTGTGTGTCACGTTGTTCGAAAAGTACACTAGTAGCTTTTTAAAGTTTGATTGTTTTTAACACGTGCAGTGTGGGAACTGAATTCCTTACTAATTGTTTTTTGGCACGTGACGTGAAGACATGCAGTAATTCAATCAAATTGGGTCCGCCACTTTGGAGTATCACATGTCACGTTTAAGAAAAGTGCACTAAGAAATTTTTAATTTTTTTTAGAGTGTCACAACATATCAGCCACGTTGTCACATTTGAAAAAAATATATTAAGGAGTTTTTATTTTTTTTAATGTCACATCATACCTATCACGTTGTCACATTTGCAAAAAGTATACTAAGAATGAGTAAAAATTTTAAAGTGTTACATCATACCAGCTACGTTATCCCATCGTTGGAGTGTTACATTAATACCTGCCACATTGGAGTATCACATCATACTTATCACGCATGCAAAAAAACAAAAAAAAATTTCCAAGTAACTAGTGAAGGTATACTATCTAACCAATACCCATTCACGTTTGAAAAAAGACTCACTGGTCACATACTACACCTAAGAATTCATCAATCAACCATTTAAAACATGGGATCAATTGGTATAAAAGTTCCCAAAATAGGACTTTCCAATAAATTTCCCTATATTGTATAATCCTGAAAAACTTTAATAACCTTGTTTGTTGCGGTATATTGAAGCTTGGAATCAATCACTACAACAAATTAAGATTTAGAAACAAAAATTTATTAGGAACAAAATAACTTTTTAGAAACAAAATATTTTTATTGCTACAAATATCATTATTATATTTTTAATGATGAAATAGAACAATTTAGTAATGAATTACTATCGTTTTTGGATCAAAATTTTTATCTAAAAAAGGTAAACTTTTTCAGACCAATTATTTTATTTGTAAAAGTTTATTTATTAGCAACCTTTTTAAAATTTTGTTGTTAAAAATTTTAGTCGCATTTTCACCCCCCAACGCATTTTTCCAACTAAGTTTATGACATTTTTAACTTTAACTCCCAACTTACGTGTCCTATATACCTACCGTATGTCTCTACAGGTCATATTTGGCATCAGGAAGCTTCCCGTAAAATCAAAACAGTGGTTGGAGGGATGTTTCGCATTCCCCCCCCGGAACGCCTTTTTTCGACTAAGTTTATGATATTTTCAACTTTAACTCCCAACCTATATATCCTATTTACGTATCGTCTGTCCTTACAGGTCACATTTGGCACCAGGAAGCTTCTCGTAACATCAAAATAATGGTTGGAGGGATGTTTCGCATTTTCGCCCCCCCGAATGCCTTTTTTCAACTAAGTTTATGCCATTTTCAACTCTAACTCCCAAACTACGTATCCTATTTACGTACCGTCTGTCTCTACAAGTCACATTTGGCACCAGAAAGCTTCCCGTAATATCAAAACAGTTGTTGGGGAGCTGTTTCACATTTTCGCCCCAACACATTTTTTTGACTAAGTTTATGACATTTTAGTTGGTTTTTTTTGACTATTTTAGCCTAACTAAAAAAGTTGTGTTTGAGAATATAATTGACTTTTTTTGTAGTTGATCATGGTTTGGATATGACATTTTAAGGCACCGTTTGGGAAGCAAGATTTGAGGCTTTTTTGGCTATTTTAGTCATAAAAGACAAAATAGACTATTTTGGTCACAACAAACAAAACATCACATCCAATTCATAATCATTACACTCTTCTCTCACAAAAAAAGTCAAAAAAGCCAAAAAGCCAAAAAGCCCTTCCCAAACCAAACTTTTTGCCCAGGCTAAAATAACCAAAAAAACCAAAAAGCCAAAAAGCCAACCCACTTCCCAAACCAAGCCTTTATTATATTAGGTATTTTAGCTTATATTATCTTTATTAGCTAGTTTAGTCCAAAACCTTTTTTCCAAACAAGGCCTAGTGCACCAGCAGTAAATTTTAGTGTAACTTATTGCTATTAAATTAATGTTGCTATAAAAGTAATCCTAATAATAAGTGGAAATTCAAACACATGAATCTAGTTGCTCTATTTGATGTTTAACCTGAGTACATACAACATAGATATATATAACCTTATGAAATTTGCATTGTGCATCTTTGAATAACCCAATAAACTTCTGTAAATCCTCCCTCTCCAAATCATTAGGTTCCTTCTTGGTATGATCATCTATAAGATCACTCATGTAAATTTCTTCCAACGTAATAAGCAATTTACCCATCATCGGATGATCGATATCTGGCATATATTCGCCACTACCTCCACAATGGTCATTTGATACACTAGGATGAGACACGGGAACATGTTCCCCGTGGTGCACCCAAGTTATATATGAAGACGCCCGTGGTGCATCCAATCCTCGCTATGACAAAAATAGGCCCCCAAATATTTTTTGCAATAAAATTTTTACTTTTGGTAACAACAAAAATTGATCCCTAAAACTCTTAGAATGCAAAGTATTTTTTTATGCAATTTTTGTTTGTAACCTATAAGGTATAAATAATTTAAATAAGTTGAAAAATACTATTTACTTGGAAGTAGGAGAATAAGTACTTTTAAATTATAATTTTTAATTATCAACTTTTAATTTAAGAAATGTTGCACCAAATTAACTCAATAAACAGTTAAAAAAGAGATATGATTTAGGGCACAAATCTCTTGCTATTGTGGGATCGAGCATTGATCACAAACTTACGTTGTAATTTTAACTCATGATGCGCAAATTGCAACGGAGTAACCCTACCACGGTGACAAGAAATGGTCATTTTGTTATATTAAAGAAAATTGCTAAATTTGATAACTTCTAGTCTCATGGAGCAATAATGTAGGAATATTATATAAAAATCACATAAAATGAAATATGTAAGACAAAAAGATTATATTATATATAAGAATATTTCAAAGGAAAGGGTCATTTCGGAAAACCGACTTGAAAGATGAAAATTGACATTATGAAGCAAAATACCATATTTAACATTTTATGAAAGTTTAATAATTGAAATTTTGTTTATTTGAATCCTAAAACCACATCCATTATAGGCTTTATTGTTGTTCCAACCCACATGCATGAAAAACATGGGAACCAACCAAGTCAAGCTTGGCAGCCACCAACCATAGCAAGGGTCAAGAATGGAGGCTACCCAAGTCAAGAATGAAGGCTCTCCCACCTACTCCTTTTGTGTATAAATAGAGATGGGAGGGAGAGGATGTGAGACATCAGAAATTGGAGAGTGAGAGCTGTGAGTTGAGTGAGTTTCATCTCCTCCTCTGTATTTTGTATTTTGCTCCATTTTAGTGAAAATTCTCATTTCTGTCCGTGGATGTAGGCATTGGGCCGAACCACGTAAATATTGTGTTCTCTGTGTATTTTTCTGGGTGTGTTTGATCCTAACATTTATAGGCTTTCAAGCCATTCATTTGGAAGTTTAGGGCAAGGCGGAGGAATGAGCGCATTAATTTTTAAAGACAAAAATGATAAATATTAATGAATGTCCACCAAAACATAAAATTGAATATGTGCTTTATTAATTCCTTATTCCAGACTCAGTAGTGATTCATTCCCCGAAAACTAGAGCTCAATTGATGTGAAAAATCAAAAAAAAAAAAAAAAAAAAAAACAAAAAAAAAAAACACATACACACGCATACAAGGTCAAAACATCACATCAGATGAGCCCCCACACACATTAAAACTATTAGAGCTCATTTTCTAGAGCTCCCAAACATTTTCCTTCCACACTTTATGTATGTTGATGGTATTATTTATGCCTCTGCCTCGGCTACTTGTTAATTAATTAATACTCATTGCCTATTTAAATAATTTTATTCCGAATCGTCATGTATTGTGTGAATTATGTCATGTAAATATTCCCCTAAGTAGAATGTATGCAAGTAATGGTGGGTGGCAAATAAACATGATCCATGCCTCTTGCTTTTCATATACGTTAAAGAAGTTATTATTATGCTGTTTTTGGAACGGCAAGTGTCATGCACTTACAACCACATAATATGATTTTATTTAAATTGAAAACTAATTAAAGGCAAACCTGTGTAGTAGTTATGAATGCATACGATATTCCGTGATTAGATTGAAATGTGCTGTTCGGCCTGCGAGGTCTATTATGGATTTCGTTTCGATAATTCGAATCGTTCAATATATAGAGCTCGTCGAGTACTTTATCTTTGTAAAAAATCACGTTGATCAGATATCGATAGCTATTTGATCAAAATAGATTTCTGTCAACGATAAATATAATTTTTAAAATAAATTGTTGACAAAAATCTGATCCGATCAAGTAGCTATCAATATCCGATCAATATAATGTTTTACAAGAATAAAATACTCGACAAGCTCTACATATTAAATGGTTCGAATCATCAAAACAGGACCCGCGACGATCACTATGGGCCCAAAAACATCGTCTAATTCACTTTATGAACCGAAGACAAGCTGCCTCCATTTCATGAATATGATATGTGTGATGATATATAGA